AATCTTTCTATCTTCATGGAGACCAGACCAAGTTACAGATCAGATCTGTGGAGAGACAGCCCCGATCACAGTCAGAACGCGTTTTATTCTAGGTATTTTTGAGCTATAAATCTACCTGTAATTGCATAAATCTAAGGTAGAGCTATTTAATGTAATGCCTAAGATGAGACTTAACCCCCCCACATCTGTACAGCCCCCACAGTAAAGCGTTGTCTTAAGACCCACTTTTATTCTCTGGCTTTTAACATTGCATGAGTTGTGTGGCCCTCTGTGTCTTTTATTTATTTATCATTTATTTTATTGGTTTTATTTATTTATCCCTATTCTGTTTTGCTCGTATTTTATCGTTTTAAGACTAGTATCTGCCAGTTAAATCTGAGAAATGTTTATGAAATGTGCTATATAAATAAAGTAGATTGGATTGGGTAATGTCATACTGTGGAACATTACAGGCGGAACAATGACGTATCGGTAGAGACAAGCAGGTGATTGACCCTCTACCAAAAATGATACAGAGTGCAGCTTTAAAGGGACAGATTGGAATTTTGGACATAGGACCTCATTTCCTAGTGAGTCAGAGTGTTGGAGACGTGTGGAGACACTTTTTTAAATATTCCATCCAGTCCTTGTATTGCTGGAGGTTGCTGGTGCTAGGCTAGTGCATGTCAATGGCCATAGTTATCCTGCCACAAAAAACAGTTTTACCCACTCCACAAAACACCCGAAGCAAATCTGTTATTACACCAGACTGTCGATGTGAATGTTTGTGTCAATAGAATAATTTTAGAAATAAAACCAACCTTGCATTTGAAGGATTTATGTCTGAGCAGCAGCAAGTTGTACTTCCTGATAGAAAGCTTGGCAGCGGCGGACTGATATATGACAAAATAGTCCCTCAACATGCGACGATTCATGCGATGCGAGGTTAGTTTTATTTCAAACATTATTCTATCAACACAGACATTTACATCGACAGTCTGGCGCAATAATAGATTTGCTTCGGGTGTTTTGTGGAGTGAGTAAAACTGTTTTTAGTGGCAGGATAACTATGGCCATTGACATGCACTAGCCTAGCACCAGCGACCTCTGCAAATACAAAGACTGGATGGGATATTTTAAAAAGTGTCTTCACACGTTTCCAACTCTATGACTCACGAGGAAATGGGACCCTATGTCCAAAATTCCGACCTGTCCCTTTAACTTACCGAGATATTGCTTTTTGCAGTGCATCTCCACATTATCACATTTCATCTGAACTAAACCTAACAGGACTTCCAGTGACTTTACAACAGCGCAATGTGTAAAACTGGTGTTGAATCGATTCAGGAGGAGCATTGCCGAGAATTTGACTGGGGGCATTACTCTTGTGGTGCAAATGGATCCCTTTAATTCCACAGGGGCTTTTGGGAGCAGCCGATTTTTCAAAAATGCATAGGAGAGAGTTTGTAGATTGCTTTTTATATTCCAACTGAAAGCTATCTAGTCCAATACAGGCCAGAATGTTTCATCTACTGTGCGCTAACGGCTGTAATGGTGATATCTGTGTATGTTTACTATCCAGGAATCAATTAGATGCAATTAAAGAGCCAATAAAAAACCTATTTGGAAGTGAGCTTTTAACACCAAGAGAGGACTGTATATATGCGGGGAAAGTTTAAATCGATAGCTTAAGTAAAACAAAACAGACAAGAGCCAGTAGTTGTCAGATTTGAATAAGGTTGCAGTTCTTTACGTAATGTAATGTCCACTGTAAAGAACTAAATATTCTGTTATTGAGAAAAAGCTTAAAGGGCCCATATTATGCTATTTTCTGAACTATGTTATAATGTTCTTCCTTCATCACAAACATACCTGGAGGGGTGTTTTGTTTCATTCACACATGTTTAACACACAAACCCCGCATGTTTAAGTTCTTTTCTCAAACTGGAAAACACTCTGTTCCACCTTGTGATGTCATGTGGCGATACAGGAAGTGCTCCACTGTGTTTTTAAACCTCATACACCATCACTAGAATCTAGGGTTGTAACAGCACATGTATTTCTGCTGAACCATTTCGGTACAGGACATTCAGTTCAGTGCACGGCTGAGCAAGAGTGAGTTCACGCAATTTGTGTGTGTTTACATTCTGCCACTACACGTGCAGCTACACAGAAGTCTCGGCTCTCTAATATTGACCAAGAAACTCGTCCGTGATTGGGGGTGGCAGTGTTTCTCACAACACTTTATATTTCGGCCGCCTTGACAACAATTGCTCCCCACCTTGGCTACGTCCCTTCAAACCACGTGAATCCTCGCAAAACTAAGGTCATCACGCCCCGGTCCTCACTTTCTCCTTTCTTTGGCACAGAATCTCCACTACTAGAGTAATTTGGATAATTTCAGCTCTGCCAGTTTCTTCAGAATGAGGTAAAAGATATGTGTTAACTTAAAAACTACCACTTCATGACATCACAGATGGAACAGAGCATTTGGACATGTGTGAATGAAACAAAACACAACTCCAGGTATGGTTTTTAATGAGGTAACAACATTATTACACGACTTAAAGCTTGCAAGAGTCAATTTTCCGTAATATCGGACGTTTAATTCTGAAACGCATGGAATTCTTCAGTTACTTTATCCCCTCATAGTTCAGTCTTTTCTCAAATGTGAATTATCTTTGACGCAATACTATGATACTAAAAACTGCAATACCATGTTTCTGAAATCAAACATGAAAAGAATATACACATAGCAGATACTTGATCATCTTAAATCATAAGTATTGTCAGCAAGAGAGTACTGATGCAATAGTCATGTGGGTATTATAAGGTTTGTAGGGATTCCTCCAGCTAGGTACTCTTTTCCAAGATCCTGACTTAAGATCTGAAGCGATATTATTAGTATTTCATTTGGGTTGCTCCAGTTTTACTGATTGATAAATGGGTCAAGTGCAAATGACTATTCCATATGGCCACATTTGACTCTTTCTTTTACTTTTTCTAACCAATTAATACTACCTGTCAAATGTTTGAACTCGCCCTTTCATTCTGTGTTTTTTTGTACTACTTTCTACATTTTGTTTACACACAGACGATATGTAGTAAAGAAAAAAAAGTGAACAAGTAAACAAAGAATTCAACAAAAAATCTTCATATATTTGGTGTCTTCTGTATGTTTATAATATATAGAAAGTAGTAAAAATAAAGTAAACAAATCCTTGAACGAGATATGTCCAAATCTTTTGACTTTTAGTGCAACGTGTACATAAAATATTGGATTTTACTTCTTGTTCTTCTTGTTAGAATAGTGATAAATGTAGGTTTCCATTAGCAACCAAACTATGTCCCTGAACACCTCCTCCTTGTTCCTGTTCCTTCTATAATTTGGCAACATGCAGAAAATTGTCCAGTTTTACACATAACAACTTTGTCTAATTAGTGCGCACATACAAGACTCGAGGTGTCTGTTCCTGCATTGTGGAGCATAAAATAACTACTCCTGTTATTGCTGAATGTCTCACCCCACTCTTCACCTCCATGTCTTACTGCTCATAGTTCTATAATCGTGTCAGGGTCAGCTCTGTGTTCCTACATGGGTTGTATAGAGCTAGAAATAGAAACTCTTTGGAACATTCTTTATGGAGACAGATGCCTTTTGTGCCATACTGTGGGAGATTATAATCAAAAGAACAACATTTCCATGGAAACAAGCAGAAAGAGGCCCTCCTCCAGACCAAGTAAGAGTCAGGTTTGTGGAGATGCAGGTCCTCTCATATTCAAGGGATCATAGTACTCTGTTTTCTGATCTGTCATAATGTGGTTTCCTCATCAAAAATATACCTGGAGTTGTGTTTTGTTAGTCAGACTGGCGCCACCTAGTTCCTCCACTCAATTTCATTTCTTTCCAGCGACTAGGTCAGGAATCAGAATACACTAGACGGTTTGCAAGAAGCCTGGAAGTGCGAGTTCGGGCACCAGCCAATCAGCAAGAAACCATATATTCTGTGTTGGCAATGATTCCTGAGATCGAGGATTTAAAGCCAGAGCAAAGAGAATGTTTGGTGAATTTTATCAAGGGGAAAGACGTTATTGTCCTTCTTCCTATGCGATTTGGAAAACGCTTAATATACCAGTTAGCCCCGTTAACGGCGCATTACATACGTCACGACCAAATAGCAACGACTGGTTAAATTTAAAAAGTACCTGCCTACATCGAGCAAACAAATTCTAATGCTGCGAGGTCAGATGGTTTCCACGAAGTGAAACCAGCTGATGAATCAGACCTAAAGAACAGCATTTCCAGGAAAACAAGCAGAAAGAGGCCCTTCTCCAGACCAAGTAAGAGTCAGATTTGTGGAGATGCAAGTCCACTCATAATAAAGGGCCCATACTATATTGTTTTCTGATCTGTCATCATGTGGTTTCCTCATCAAAAACATATCTGGAATTGTGTTTTATTTCATTCACACATTTGACACACAAACCCTGCATATTTACTTCTCTCAAACAGAAAACTTTTAAACTCTGTACACCTTAACTAGAATCATTTGGATGATTTCTGCCCTATAACTGCACATCTCTACTGAACTTAAGGTAAAAGGTAGCTGTTAACTTGCAAACTACCACTACATGAAATCACAAAGTGGAACAGAGCATTTTGAGCTTTGGAGATGTGATAGACTCATAATAAAGAATTACTCAAACTCTAGGTATGTTTTTGATGAGGTAACACCATTCTAACATGGCTTAAAGCTCACAACTGTGAATTTTGTGTAATATAGGCCCTATAAGGACACATGTTTTTCTATGTTTTTAGTGCAATAAAAACATAAAAAATGAAGAGTAAAAAGTTATATAATGGGACTTAAAAGAATTTATACTAAAATGTGAGTAAACTGAATTGTGTGAACAGAGAGTCCTACGACACATTTACTCTCCCATACTATCTTCAGCAACAAAAACATCTTTACAACCTTCTCAAAATCCACAATCCTTCCACATCCCAAAGTCCTACTCACCTGTGGTCTCTACGATTCCCTCCAGGATGACGACGATCTCAAACTGCTCCGTCTGCATGGAGCGCTGGGACAGGTCGTAGAAGGGGCTCTTGGTGTCGATGACGTGGCAGATGGTGAGAGGAGACACCAGGAAGAGCTGATCTGCGCCGGTGCTGAAGCCCACGTCCAGCTCCAACTGGTCCAGAGGAAGGAACTCTCCCTCTGGGGTTTGCCGGGACTGTGGACAGGAAACGGAGGGCAGCGAGTGAGTTATCTGGACACTCAGAACCACACGCTTTGACAAAAGTTAAAAAAGATGAGTAGATCTGGTGCTGTATCCTGTCTCTTCACTTTCAGAGGGTGTGATTGACAAGTGTATTAACCAAGGAGAGAGAAGCGAGCTCTGTATGCGCCAAAAAAAACAAAAAAAACATGACAGTTTACATGTAAAAAGGGGGAAAACAACATAGGCTATGTTCAGACTGCAGCATGAAGTGACCCAAAACAGATTTTTTGGCCCCTATGTGACCTGTATCTGATCTTTTAATGACTGTCTGAACAACACAGATCTGATTTTTTCAAATGCAACCCAGGCCATTTGGATATGTGCTCCTAAAACCGATAGATATCATGCGACTTCATTCTGAACGGCCAGGTCGCATTCATCGCACCTACAGGTCAGGCTTGGAGTCTAGTCAATGGAGGGAAAGCAAGGTTTGCGAGTTTATTCATATCTGGGGGGGATCAGTCAATCAATCAATCAATCAAACTTTATTTCTATAGCACCTTCCAACGACCAAAGCCGACCAAAGTGCTGTACAACATTAAAACAAGATAAAAAACAATAAACATCATACAAATAGGCCAACAAAGCACATTACACCATTAAAATACAGAAAGTGTCACAGGGCCACTAAGTGTTAAAAGCAATTCTAAATAAGTAGGTTTTAAGTTTGGGATCGCTGTATTCAGGCCAAATTGGAGGGGTCGGTTTTTGAAATGATTGCCAAAGAAATGTCCAAGCACGGCTACAAACGGTCCTGGCTCCAATGTCAATGAAAAAAAAAGACCCTGCGAGCCAAAGACAAGGAGGCTAAAGACTCAAAACAAACGAAACGGCCGTGGCTGTATAACCTGTCCATTTTTACGAAGAACTGGACTGTATTTTGTTAAGGCAACTTCCGTAAACACTGAGCATGTTCGCTGCGTGTGATGTCGTCGTGTCCTCCAATGCACATGCAGGTCACTTTTGGGGTGTTTAAAGATCACATTTAATTGGAAATGTCAACAGCCTTACAAAAAAAATCTGATTTCACAAAAAAATCTAAATTGAGTCTAAACGTAGCCATAAAGGACTGGGAAACTGTGGATTTTGGCAGAATCAACAACTGAAACACCAAACTGTTACTTATCTCAGGTAAAAGAAGTTATAGATTTAGATTTTAGGAGATGTCTTCCACACTTGAGAGACATGTGTGGCTGTGGTTGGATCGTTTCACGCTCTATGGTCCAATTTCAGACCCTTCTGGATTCTAACAGAATGCAGAAGGGACCTGTGAGCAAGTCAGTGGACTAGAGGACAGGTAAGAAGCTAAGATTGGAGGTGTGTTGAAAGTAAGTTGTTGTTATAGGGAGAAGAGACGCTATGATTGTGATAATATTTCTTCATTATTCACTCATTAAAAACAATAAATGACTTTCAATGCTAATACTAATGCTAATTTTATGAGAAGTTAATTATTGGCTTTTAATTAGAGCCATTAAACCCAAACAAATACCCAAATGTATTTCATGTAGATTTGTAAAATGTAATTAATTGCACTTAACTGCCCTACTCCTCTGCAAACTGTCCCAATAGCCACTCTGATACAAGAACACAGGTAAGATTATTGTCTTGCCCAAGGAAACAAACACAGCAAAAGAAAGTCTCTTTGAGTATTGCTCATAATTATGTCAAGAATGAAAATATAATCTAATAATAATGAACCAGTACCACCTGAGTCTCTGGATTAACAGTGGTTCACGGTGGCTGAGCTCACAGGCTTTCTTTTTATAACCAGACTTTTGGCAGTTCAATCCCGCCTCTGATCAGATCGAGCTGCCTTTGTGTCTTTGGGCAAGACACTTGAGCAACCCTTTTGCCTTTTATTAGCTCCTATTGATTCAGTTACGACTGTAGAGAAACCAGCCAATGGAAGGTTTTTGATGCAATAAAGTTTTACACAAATGATCATTTTGCAGGAGGTCAGTGGTCAATACAATTTAATCTTTTACAATCACAGAGTTCTATCACCTGAATGCTCAAGAAATGTCTCCACGTGGGTTTCTACTCTTAAACCTAACACCGTATTTCGACATTTCTTTAAATTAACGCTTAACAACTCTTAATGAGTATTGTGATTTATGTCTTATTTCAGCTTGGACAGGCCTGCTGGTTTTCATTGTGCCAAGATTACAACATGTAGTTCTTAACAGGCAGCGTTTCAGACTGACAAAGCCATCACGTGTGGGTGTGAGAGGAACCATGAGGTCAACATTAAATATGATCAATAAGACCTGACAATAAATCAATACAAGGAGCTATTAACACAAATCATTATTATGCTTTTGGGCTCTCACAGTGACAGTCCACTGTGAGACTCAGCCAAGGAAACAATACTCTTCTCTGCCAGCGTATTAAAGAGTGAATATAGTAAAAGATAGAGATACGTGGGATTGTGTGTGTGTTTTATTTTAAAGATGATGGAGGGGACACTTGATATTTAAAGGAATCGTAGGTAAGATTTTGATTTAAAGTAAAGCCCAGATATGAGACTTGTTCAAATCAAATTCAGCTTTTACTGATAACAATTCAGATTTATTCTTAATTTCAAAATATTGGACATGACGGTCAGGTTGCTTATGTTATAATTTGGTGTTTTGGTTCTCAAGAGTGAAGAGTCTGTCATTTGGGTTGCCAGTTTCAGTGCTGAAATCCAGTTGGTTTAAATCTAAAATGCCTCTCTGATCTGAACGGCCACTACCTAAACCCTCAGCATCTGCAGCCAATTATTAACCAGTGCTAGTGCAGCCCGTGCAGCTCAGGGAGGGAATTCTGGAGGTCCGGTGTAGACTTAAGTGAAAAGAATGAGAAAAAAACTTGTATGTGTCCTCTATGTGCAACTACAAGGCAACTAACAACAGGTACAGTTGCTAGTAGCCTTTTTATCTTTTTAGTAAGAGTTCAAGCTATATATGGTTCCCTTAAAGCTGCACTGCGTAACTTTTCTGATCTGTCACTCCCTTGTCTCTGTGGAGATGTTACTGCTTTGCCTGGAATATTACACAGTATTGCATTAAAGATCTAGTCAGCGTTTATTTCGTTACGTAGATAGAAACATGTATTCCTGCTATTACTGGGGTCGCCTCTTCACAGATCTGACCTGTAATTTGGCCTGGTGACGTCTCCATGGAGATAAATACTGTACGTTTATTGGCATACTGTAGTAGAGCATTTCAGCCCAAAGGAATAACATCTCCATATAAGCAGAGGTAGAAGTCCAACAATAAAGTTACACAATTAAGGTGGTGAAATATGCACTTTATACATTTAAAGTGCCCATATTTCGCAGTTTTCTAATTCAAGTTATAATGATATTTCCTCATCAGCTACTGTGGTCCAAAGCAAGAAAAATGATCTGATGAAGGCTTTTTTTTTTTTTTTTTTTTTTTTGCCAAAACGTTATTTATATATAAAAAAAATTTAAAAAAGCTTTTGGACATTGGCCATCTGAGTGTGCTGTGCATTTTTTCACTTTTAATTTCTTCATCACACACAAATCTTGCATATTTAGTCTGAGTTCTTCTCTCAAACTGAAAACACTCTGTTCCACCTTGTGATGTCATGTGGTCGTACAGGAAGTGCTCCACTGTGTTTTTAAACTCCATACATTTGGATCATTTCAGCTCTGGATTGACCGATTTCTGCTGAAAAAGGTAAAATGCAAGTGTTAACGTGAAAACTACCACAACATGACATCATAAGGTGGAACAGAGCATTTTGAGCTTTGGAGATGTAGACAGACTAATAATAAATGATTACTCAAACATGTGTGAATGAAACAAAACACAACTCCAGGTTTGTTTTTGAGGAGGTAACAACATTATAATCTGACTTAAATCGCACAAGAGTCAGTTTTATGTAATATATGAGACCTTTAAAGATTAATGTGGTGAAATATGCACTTTATACATTAAAAGTGCTCATATTTCGCTATTTTCTAATTTGCGGTTTGAGAAATTTACAACATTATATCATGACTTAAATCTCACAAGAGTAATTTTTGCGTATTATAGGACCCTTTTTTAAGATTAAAGTGGTGAAATATGCACTTTATACATTTAAAGTGCCCATATTTAGCTTATTTTTTTATTTGCAGTTTGAGGAGGTAACAACATTATAATATGACTTAATCTCACAAGAGTCAGTTTTGTGTAATGTGGGACTTTTTTTTATAAGATTAAAGTGATGAAATTTGCACTTTATTCATTTAAAGTGCCAAATTTTTGCTATTTTCTAATTTGTGTTTTGAGGAGGTAACAACAATATATCATGAATTAAATTGCCAAAATTGAGTCAGTTTTGCTTAATATAAGACCATTAAAGATTAAGGTGGCAAAATATGCACTTTATACATTTAAAGTGCTCATATTTTGCTACTTTCTAATTTGCGGTTTGAGGAGGTAACAACATTATATCATGACTTAAATTGCAAAAGAGTCAGTTTTGTGTAATATAGGACCTTTTTTTTTTTTAAGTTTAAAGTGGTGAAAGATGCGCTTTATACATTTAAAGTGCTCATATTTTTCTACTTTCTAATTTGTGGTTTGAGGAGGTAACAATATTATATCATGGCTTAAACCTCACAAGAGTCAGTTTTGTGTAATATAGGACCTTTTTTTTTTTAAAGATTAAAGTAGTGTAATATGCACTTTATACATTTAAAGTGCTCATGTTTTGCTGTTTTCTTTTATAGGACCTTTAAAGATTAAGGTGGTGAAATATGCACTTGTATACACAGTTTGCTTTCAGAGACAAGCTTCAATTAGCAGATCCAAATGTTCTTTTCACTTGGTGCTCCGCTAACTGCCTGGCCATAATTCAAATTCCCGTCCAACCATGTAAACAAACATTTGACGGCACGTCCAATCAAGTACACTTCTGAAGCGCTGTCAAAAAAGACAATATGGCGTCCGTCGATATCCAAATTAAATCAAGGGAAAAGTGCATCAAATGTGCCACTTTTTGCTTCTTCGAATAGTGTTGTTCACAGTTGCTTTGTTAATGGTGGCTAACGGGGGCTAGCTGCTAACTGCATGAGAAGAGGGCCATCTGTGCTGTTAGTTGTGTATGTGTTTCTCCTATATTCGCCACCACACAAAAGCCAGTCGCTGTATTTCTACGGGGGGAAGTTGCTGTGGACTCCCCCTTTTGGTATTTTGCGGTACGCTCGCAAATCACATACATTACATCTGACATCTGGAAAAGGCATTTGTTATGTTTATGATCGCGAAAATAGACCAGAAAGATTGACAAGTTTGAACTAAAATTGCAGTATAACACGGTTTTCAGTGGGCTCCAGACAAACACAATAATAATATTGTCAATCATTTTTGTAATATGAGATTGAGCTGGTTCTAAAACTCACTTCCAACCACTTTTATTATGACGTGTTCAAAATTGCGGTAGAAAGTCGGTAGTTTGTGAGAGAAACTGTTTAAAATCTCATCAGAATGTGAATGTTTTCGCCCCTTCAGCAGTAAAAGTGATATGTCTAAGGAATATTATGCAAATGCTGCTAAACTCATGGGGGTAATAAATAATAGATTGCATTTGTACAACAATTTGAAGGCACCCGAAGCACAGACTTTAATATAATTTACTTTCAATAAACAATCAGCAGTTAAATTAATTACTATATGTTTAGAGTTAACTTTACACTGTTTTGAAAGTTTGATTATTTCAAGTTTATACCACGCACTTGAACCACTAAAACCTCTCTAAAGAACTTCAATCTATAGGTTATAGATTATGCAACATTTAATTTCTTTAGTGCTACTTTTTTGCAGATTTTGCGGCGTGATTTGAGCAATTCAGTCGAAATTATCAGCTTTGTTTTCGTGGGTTTCATTGTGGATTTTTGTCTGGAATTGTCACTCCTAGCCTAAGTACTGCGCCTATCTGACAGAAGGACATCACCATTTTCAATTTACAAAACAATGTGCATTATGGGAAGCACTTATAGCTCCCGTTTTATTCCTGGATCATTAATGGCACATTTAGCAGCACATTCTGACTTGGAAATGCATATACAAGTCCCTTTAATTCTATATACATTTGGTGTCAGACTGCAATGTGCGATCCTGTTCCAGCACTGAGCCATAGTGCTGTGCCTGGATGTGTACCATATGCCTAAAGAGTGTGACAGCATTACGCACATCCATAAAATATGAATAATCCGAATGCTGCGCAGTGTTGACACGTGTGGGGGCTGTTAAAAGTTGCACGAGCTCGCTGACTGAGGTAATGGGGGAAACCAACGTGGCCTAATGATGAGGAATAAGTGGCACATTTTCTCCACTGTCACCCGTCACTTGCCTGGGAGCAGTGTGTGGGGACAAGGATTCATTAAAAAAGTCCTGATAGACGCGCACTTGGGGCCCTCTTTCGTGTGTTGTTAGTGCGTTACATAACCAACCAACAGGCCACTGCTGCTCTGGAGAGAGGAGTTATGTATGTGTGTACTTAACAGAATATGGAAATGAATATGCCCATTTGCCGTGCGCAATTATGGCTGATGTGCTGGGAGCAGCGGGGTGCAGTCAGAGCTACTTGGGAGTACTTACTTTGAGCAGTTTGCAGCGGATCTGTGCGGAGACCATATGGCTGTTACGCAGGTTGCCCACCCTGAACATGAGAGTTAGTTTGCCATCACGCATGGAGATAGCGGCGTGCTCACTGAACATCAATGTCTCGGCCCTCTTCTTGGGCTGAGACATTTTGATAAACATGCATCCGATCAGAAAGGCATCGACGATGGAGCCCAGGATGGACTGGAACAGAAAGAGGATGATGCCTTCGGGGCACTTGTCCGTGATGTACCTGTAGCCGTAGCCTATAGTAGCCTCGGTCTCTATGAAGAAGAGGAAGGCTGAGGGGAAGTTGTAGACGTTGGCCACACACGGCGTGTACTGGTCGTTGTGGGCTTTGTTGAGGTCCCCCCGCATGTAGGCGATTAACCACCACATGGAGGCCATGAAGAGCCAAGCCACCGTGTAGGTGAGGATGAAGATGAAGAGATTCCAGCGCCATTTCAAATCCACCAGAGTCGTGAACAAGTCTGAGAGGTATCTGCTGGTCTCACCACCCAGGTTCCCATGCTGGACGTTACATCGCCCGTTTTTGTCCACAAAGCGCTGTCTCTTTCTCTTCTTCTCCGGTGGAGGCTGACTGAAGCCGGACCCGCTCGAGGAAGTGGTCACTACCTGGTAATCGTCCCCAAATTTCTTTCGAAGTGCAGACATACTACGATGACAGCAGCGAAAGAAATGAGAAAGATGTAAGGCAGGGAGCGGAGGGAAAGTCCGTGTGAGTAGTTGGTGCAGCCCGTGCGCAATGCTCCTCCGGAGAAATAAAGTGCAGTGTCTTGACTGTCTTTAGTCTCGCTGCACCGTCCTCTTTCGCCCCGCGCTACTGTTGCTGCGCACAGCCATGAAACATCAGCAGCGGGAGTGCGCCTGACAGAACATAGCAGCCATAGAGCGGTGGAGAGGCTGGGGTAGGTATCCAAACGCGCCAGTCGCAGTCCAGCTCTACTTGCGTCTACCAGTTACTGCGTTGAGGAGAATTACTCATCGTAGCGAGGAGGTTGTGCCTTCACTCTTTATCGACCGCTTCAGGACGCACTAAGTAAGTTTCCCCCCAAATCCCTCCGAGAGCGCGCCATAAACGAGCCCAATCCACGCGTAATTAAAGAGCTGCCGCCTCGCAGAGATGCTCCCGCGCGCACTTGTGCGTCCTCTTCCTCTGGCCCTGAGCGTTGGAGCGGTGAAGACTATTCTCCCAGTCCGTGCTTCTCCGGTGTGATGTGTATACATCCGAGCATATGACAGGAAAATATGACAAACTGGAGCCGAGCTTGGAGGAAGAGCTTCACTGTCCCACTGTCGTCATTTTCAGACGCGCGCATCGACGCCAATTACCGGGCATTTCTCCCGTTTTCTCCCGGGGCTTCTTTTTAAAGCGACCAGATTCGATAAGAATTAGATCCACAAGCTGCTTTTTGTGGTGGTTTTCTGCGCTTGGCTCCTGCGCACTTCCACTCTGCCAGTGATGCTCGCAGTGTTGCCTGGTGGTGCTAAAGACACAGACTCTTTGGAGGAGGAGAGAAGAGGATGGCATCATCCCACTCGAACTTATCAAATATGTGAGGACGGGCTGAGGTGGTGGAGGGGCTGTACTCAACAAACCAATTAAACTGGCATCCCATTAAACACACAAGTCATTTACAACTGCGCCAAATTTGGAAGCATGCCAGCAGCTCCTTATTTTAACATAAAGAAAGAACATATACATAATCCCCTGTATATGTCGCATATACAGTTATGCTCAATGTATTTATATATTTATATACAAATGTATATCAGAATTTTGAAGGAAAAAAAGATTTAGAATATATTTAAATTAGACACCTCAGGCATAAGATCAGCACATTAAACTGAAAGGCGAGGTTAGGAAGACAGTTTTTGTTTACACATTATAAATTACAAATAAATCTCTTAAAGTCAGCCAAAACAATCGTGCATGAATAGGTTTTTTTCTTTTTATGTACCACTTGACAATGACAATATCTAACAAGAACCCAAAAATACCAACTATGCAATGCTATGCTTTCAGATCTTTTAATATGTTATAGTTGATTACTGATCTACCCCTGTTTTCACCACCACCAACGTACATCCACTGCTTTGTACTTCATTCTCCAGTTTTATTTATTTAATTAGTGACTTGAGTAGGATTCAGCAGTACAGCCTAGTCATTTTGGTACAAGTGAAAAAAAAAAAAAAAAGTGATATGCGGCTCTCCATAGAACATGTCGATAACTTCACAGCTCTTTGTTGTGATGATGTTTACCTTGACGTCAGCTCCTTTTTTAATAAGTAATTTTAGATGAATATTGTGATTAAAAATGTGTGAGTTGTAACATAATGATCCACAGGTTTATAACTATATCACAGACACAAGTATAAAAGATCCTATTTAAAAAACACCAGACAGAGCATAACTTTTTACCTCTGTATTGCTTTTACTCTTCCACAATCCCTCTGTTCTGAATCACGACTCGCGCTCAGTTCTTTGGGCTTCACCGTATGATTTGAGAGCTGATTGTGCGGTGTTGGAGCTGGTGAAAAGGTGTCATTCTGCACACAGCACTGCTCCAGCGGCTGGCCTCTGTGTGCAGCGGACAGTTACAAATGCCCCTCATTTAGTTGCTGTTCTTATGGGTCACCAGGTGCTAACGCTCAGTGATGACCTCTCATCCATCGCCTGCTGACACTGTGGATTTATCCTTTCAATAGCACACAGGAACGTGCAGAAAAAGAATGTGTTTTATAGATCAGAGGATGACAGAGAAGCTGGTTTGCTGTGTACGCCCACATGGAGCTACCGGCACATGGCACAGGACACAAGAGACCACGCTGTACACACAGGGACAAAAGGCACAGTTAAGCTTCCTGTTATTGTTTATAGGTCATAGTTTGAGAACTTTTGCCCATTCAAAACATATTATTTTGAATTGTTAATAAGAATTTCATCACTCTGAAACCCATGGATTAGTTTTTGGTTATGATTTGAGACACAGATTTTTTTAAAAGATAGAACACTTTTATTTCCATGCAGACAAGATGCAGGCGACACCACCTGGCCAAGCTGCAGGTCAGATCTGTGGAGAGGAGAAGAGCTCACAGTAATGTTTTTGATTTTGTTTTGCACACCTGTAATTTGGTAGCCAGGCTGGTGCCACCTAGTGCCTCCGCTCAATTTAATTTCTATCCAGCGACTAGGTCAGGAATTGGAATACACTAGACAAAAACCCCAGAAGTGCGAGTCCGGGTACCAGCCAATCAGTGAAGAGTCAAACATTCAGTGTTGTCAGCGATTCCTGAGATCGAGGATTTAAAGCCGGAATAAAGAGAATGTTTGGTGAATTTCATCAAGGGGAAAGACGTTATTGCCCTTCTTCCTATGGGATTTAGGAAAAGCTTAATATACCAGTTAGCCCTGTTAGCGGCGCATTACATACGTCACGACCAAATAGCAGCGATTGGTTAAATGATAAAAAGTACCCGCCTACCTTCGAGCAAACAAATTCTAACACTGTGAGGTCAGACAGTTTGTACAAAGTGAAGCGAAGTAAAGCGAAGCAATGAATCAGGCTGGCACCACCTAGTGCTTCCACTCAATTTCATTTCTCTCCAGCGACAAGGTCAGGAATCGGAATCCACTAGACGGTTTGCAAGAACCTCGGAAGTTGTAGATCGTGCACCAGCCAATCAGCGAAGAGCTGTGAAGCCATGACTGGGTCCCTTCTGTGGTACAGCACAACAGTAAACAAAGCGGTCGAGATGGATGTAGACGAAGACAGACATTCTGTGTTGGCAACTATTCCCGATATCGAGGATTTAAAGCTAGAACAAAGAATGTTTGGTGAATTTTATCAAGAGGAAAGACGTTATTACCCTCCTTCCTATGGCATTTGGGAAAAGCTTAATATACTAGTTACGTCATGACCAAATAGCAGTGATTGGTTAAATTAAAAAAGTACCTGCTTATCATCGATCAAACAAATCTTAATGTTGCGAGGTCAGACGGTTTCCACAAAGTGAAACCGGCTGATGAATCAGACATATCATTTGGATAGATGCAAGACAAAAATTCCAGGCAAAGAAATAACATCTCAGTAAAGACAAGCAAATGGTTGAGCCTTCACCAGAAAAGTTGCATAGTGCAGCTTTAACGTGCCAGATGTTTTATAAGACCAGAACTGAAGCTGAAGCATAAATCCAACCAAGACTGAACGACACTTCCCACCTCGTCTGTTGCTGTCAGCCAATCACAGTCTGCTTTCTTTGCCTCTTAAAGCAGACCTATTATGCAAAATCGACTTTTAACGAGCTTTTAAGCATGTCAAAGTAGTTTCTCTTCACAATTTACTCAGCCAAAGTTGTATTTGGAGTGATTTGTGCATGTTTGAGTAATCTTTAATCACTTACTTTCAAGACACCATATTGCTTACTTTCAAGACGCCCACTCTCTGCTTACTTTGTTCTCCAATTTAATTTTCTTAAGCGGTGATACGCATCGAAACCGGCAACACTGCATAGTCATGTTGGCACAAATGGAAAAAAAACAACAAAAAAACACAGCTATCCAGTGGAGATGACGACTCTTTGTTGTGATGACTTTTACGACGACATCAACTCCCACTGGGCACCGCAATTTCATAACTTGGAAATTAGCGGTTTTGTTTCTTTTATGAAGTCATTTTGGATTAATATTGTGATTTAAAATGTGAAAAATACAGCATAATGATCCACGGGTGTCATAATTATATAGCAAACTGTGGTGGATACCTTTGTCACAACTCCACAATCATTTAATTTAATTTCATTCACATTAAGTTAATTACAGCACATAATTTAATACCTTTATTTCGACTTATATTATAATTTGGGTCACGCATTTTAGTATAAGTCTGAATTATTTACTTACACTTGTTCTTTTTGTTTGTTTGAGTGCCAGACAGAAGACCATCCGTGACTCAACAAAGGGGCGGCGCTATTTAGTTTGTTTACTAAGTTTGTTTGTCTTTGTTTGCTTTAAGATCACTTTATTATCACTTATTACTTTCTGTATTATACTTATTTGTCTTCTTGTTACTTTGATTAAGATTATTAGTAGTTTTAGTTAATTATTTAGTTTAATTCTCCCGTCTTGTGTTCAGTTTTAGTTGGTTTAAGCTGTTCAGTTTGATTTAAGTTACTCCAATTGGGCCTGGCTTTTTTGTTTTTTTAATGATTTACCTAATTTGAGCCTTTGTTAAATTACATATTTTATTTTTACTTATTTTCATGCCTTGTCTTTGCCTTTCTGTTTGATCCACAACACAGACACATGAGGTCCTCTTTAACCATTCCCCATTCAAAGCATTCCTATAAATGCACTCTCTAGCTCCTCCTTTCTTCTTTGTGCTATAACACTTTTCTACAACTATAACTACACGGCAGCAGTAGAACCATCAACCTCCTCAGCCTCTTTGAAAATGAAAAAACAACAATTTTCTTCATTATTTGTCTCCAAAACCAAAATGTTTAGTTTTCGATTTTGTGTTTAAATGATTAAAAAACGGATAACAGCTGTTTCCCGTTTCCGTGACTTAAACTGAGATGCCGGACTGAACCAGGACTAAACTGGTCTCAGTCCTGGTCCCGGTCTCAGTCCCGGTCTCAGTCCCGGTCTCAGT